GCATGAAATGCAAAAAATCAAAAGAACTGGTAAAATGATTAATGCTGAAATAAGCAACCTCATAAAACTCAGCTAATGATCTCAGATGCAAAACAACACTAAAATCAACAAATGTGAGATACATTAAAATACACATTATTAAAACACTAAGGTATAATAAAAAAACCTGTTTCTTTCAGGTACCAAAACAAATTATCATTTACCTCTTTTCCAATAATATGGTTAGTCATTAAAATACTTCAATCAGTCAGTTAAAACACAGATATTAAGTTTAAAAGCGATACACAGACAGAATACTATTACAGTTTGAGCATACAGGTTTATTTGGCTTTTAAAAGATAACTGAGTGGCTCAAGACAGACCAATTCGAAGATGGGTTAGCATTACTTCCTCCCTTTGGTTTCTAATTGATTCCAAGTATTCCACAACACTTTTAAGTTTGCTAGTGACCAAAGCTGCCACATATTTATATTACATGATAGCTGCCACATATTTAGGATTTCTTCTTGATGACCCTGTAGATATCCCCAAGCAGAGCATGCTGGCTGCACAAATCACAAGCAAATTTTCACTTGTACTTATATATGGTTCAGGGCTAATGCTAGGCATTTCACTGCATAGTACAAACTCTGCAATTCATATATATTGCCACCTGGTTTCTTCCTAAATTCTTAAAGGTTGGCTGCCCTAAATTCTGGTGCCTGCCTTGATGTAGTGTTAATAGTGTATCAATAGCTTCTACTAAATGTACAAATTCAATTATTATACAATCACAGATGCAGGTTATTGATTGATTGTGGATATTACACAAACTGCTTAGCATCATATATTCTATTTAATTAACTAAACTATTACTGTATATTTTTTCATATGTATCATTTAATAATTTACCACCTAAGTCACTCTCAGATGGAGGCTTATATCCAGGACAAAGCATCTTTATGAAAGATTCTATCTTTATGACATTTTTAGCATTAAAATGCATCTATTTGACAATCCATTTTAGATATTTGAGAAGATGGTATTTTTATAACTTATTTACTTAAATCATGCTCATGAATTAGTGCACTAATCATCAGATTTATGCTTGAGGTTACATGGATATGGAAATGACACACTTTCTTGCATTGTAATAATATAGCTTAGTGGTATTCAAACTATGAATACTTATAGTGAGGTTGCAAGGTGGATAAAAATCTTAAAAATTCTAAATTCGTAGTATATAATTCAGCATTGACACTCTGATTGTGGTCGTGAAATTGTCTTTTGGGTCGCACTGCATAAAGTTTGAATACCACTGACATACTTGTTTAAACTATTTTTAAAAATTTAAATTTTATAAAAAATAAAAAAGTTTTTACGAAATAAGCTTTTATTTAAAACTCATAATTAATGAACTAAAAAGAAGAAAAATAATTTATGCAATTTCATAGGAAGAAATGATTAAATAATTCTCTTTACAAAATTCAACTGCAATATTTCATCATGGATATAAAAGCCTGAGGTATACTTCATAAATTTATAAAGATATTAGCTTATATCTTTGACAATCAATGCAATTAATAGATTTTATGATATAAAATAGTAGATGAATTTTGGGAAGAGAATTTTTTAATCTCTTGTCCCATTAAACTATACGATACATTATTTTCTTCTTTTAGTTCATTGATTATCTTATCTGTTTTAAATAAAAGCTTTTTTTATATAAACTGTTTTTATCTCATCTTTTACTCTGAACAACAAATTGTCAATTAAATTTTCAGTTTAAAAATCGTTTTTCAATAATGAAAAATTTCTCTTTTACTTCCAACAATTCTGTTATGTCAAATGGTAGAACAAAAATAAAGTGATTCTTGAAAATTAAGCAGAAAATCAGAAATGACATTAAAAATTTTGGTACTTACGTAATCTAGTCGAATGAGAAACTGTTGCCAAGCAGAGTGATTATGTGTATGCTTGCGCCAGTTATGAATTACAGTGATCTAAGCACACACTCATAACATCTCATTTTCTTCGACATGAACTCGATTGATTCTTGATAAGCAACATTTTTGTTTTTATGAACAAGATTAACCGTTATTGCCGTATATTTTTCTAACAATTTTAAAAATGGATTAAAATGTGGGGTCTGAATTTTATGGAACTGTAAGCACAGGTTTATTATCAAAGTTACTACAAAAAAAGTGTATGTTAATGAACATGATATGGTCAGCTGAACATGGTTAACAAAACAGTAATAGGTTGAAAAATTTATCTGCAGAAAGTTTGTAACCATAGCATTCTGAGACAGCTACTCGTAAAATTGAAGGACCTAACAAAATAGTAAAAACAAACAACAATCTTTTTATGAAGTTTGACAAACACTGGTCGTTTATTAAACACAAATTTCTGCAAAATTCTGCAGGAATGATGGCACAACTTTGGTGGGATTTCACCAACTTTCAAGATTCGTTGGTAGAAGTAGAGTAGACTTTAAGGTACCCCTTGTGTTATGGCGAAGTTGTTGTTTGATTTATCGCCAAGTTGTTGTTTCATTTATGGTAGCCTGAGTAGTTGAATGTTATGGAAACCCTATTGTGACGTAATCGGGTGCATGATTCTGGAAAATTTTGAATCATGGGATGTTTTGTAAGCATTTTTGTGGTGTGTGTTAAAACCGTTTAGATGGATTTGAATGGGTTTGTAGGAAGAAAGGTTCAGATGTTCACTATGTGAAGCGTTCGATCAGAAAGAGTACCTGGTTTGAAAAAAGTCATTTGAGTATAATTGATATTTTGATTTTTAAGTGGCTCTGGGAGTATGAAGCGAACTCGAAAATCATGGTACGTAAATATTTGCTTTTGGTAGTGCTTAAATGTATAACATGTTTTTCCTTTTTTATGTTATTTTATCATTTGGTTTAAAATGTATTTTATTGAGATTATGTACTTTTTGTTTGCCTATATTGTAGACTTTGGTGCTCCTTTGACTTTTTGGCTAATCTTTGGAATATGGTAACAGGTAGTTTGGCGACATTTTGGTAAGGCGATAAAGGTTACTAGCTAGGACTTTAGCAGTGTACCTGGATAAAGTCAAGAGTGTGCGCAGTGCCATTTTTGTACAATTCTGGGATGTTCTTTTAAGTGAAAATAGGTCGACGTATACATGGATACCGTGTATGTGCAATTCTTAAAAACGCGGCAAGCAGTTTGCGATTCTGCACTTTCTCCCAATTTCACACCCAATCTTCATCATGATTAAGCACTTTTGTTCCACAAAAGTTTTAGCATAAGTGTAATTGGGCTAGCAGATTGTTGAAAAAAAATGTTGATTTAAAAAAAAAAAAAAAAGCCTTTACTTCGTGAAAACAAAATGGTGTCCAAACAAAAACTAGCAGGTTGCTGTAGCAGGGTTGGTCGCCAAATTATCATAATCCAAAGATTAACCGACTTTTTAAGTGAAAATATATCGATGTGTACATGGACAAAGTAAAGGGAGTGCGCAATGCAAGTTTGTGCAATTCTGGGAATTTTTTTTAAGTGAAAATAGGTCGTTGTGTACATGGATAAAGTTAAAAGAGTGCGCAATGCCGTTTTTGTGCAATTCGAGGATTTTTTTTAAGTGAAAATAGGCCGATGTGTACATGGATAAAGTCAAAGAAGTGTGCAATGCCATTTTTGTGCAATTTGGACAGAGTTGTAGCTAAGGTTTTCAGCGCCCAGGCACAACTGAAGTTTTCGCGCCCCCTACTGCTTGCCAAGGATGGAAAACATTTAATTCTAAAATGGCGTAACATCAGTTTGGCGCCCCTTGGATTCTGCGCCCGGGAACAGATGCCCCCTTGCCTTCCTCTAGCTATGCTCCTGAATTCGAGGGTTTTTTTTTTAAGTGAAAATAAGTCGGTGTGTACATGGACACCGAGTTTGTGCAATTGTTTGTCTTGTTATTTTGGCTTTGTGTAGCAAAAATCGCCGCTTCGCAAGCCAAAATAACGAGTCAAAGCATTGCACAAAATCGGTATTCATGTACCGCCAAAAATCGCCAAGGGGTACCGTAAACTATACTTTTACCGTTGGCAGCAAACTCCTGAGGTTTATGGTATAATGTGTAAATAACAAAATTTCTATAATTATATAAACTTAATTCCCCCCCTCTCTACACTAAAGTACAAACAGTAAAATTCTGTTCAGTTTATTCATGTGAATACAAATTTTCAAGTTTAAAAATCAAGGACAAACTTTTGGCCATAGCTAGAAATACCATGAATGAACTGAATAAAAGCTTATAAAAAGTTTCTATTTTTTATATTTAATAATCAAAATTTCTTTAAAAGCATTACACATTATCTTAATCTTTAACATATTTCTCATCATTAAAAAAAAAAGAAAAAGAAAAATATTTACATGATTTTCTTTAATCATTTGATTAAAATAATTGACACCCTGTACAGAAAATAAAAGCACACATATGCCAAACAAAATTTCACAATAATGATCTAATAACAGTATACTATTTCATCAATACTGGTATTAAAAACTTTAAGTAAAATTTCACTAAAAGTCACAGAACAAAAGTCATAATAAAGTTAACACAAAATTCCCTATACGTGTAAAACCTCAATAAATCATTTTCATTCTTATACATATGCGCGGTTGTTAAAATTATTACTAAATTATCAGATTGAATTGCTTATTGTATTTCTAATAGTAATTTTTACAAAATGCTTATCATTCAAAATACAGTATATAATTCTGAAGTTTATATTTAAATTATTATTTCAAGAAAATCTATTTTAACATCATAAACATGAGGAATATAAATATTTAAATACAATATTCATTTATTTTAATATTAAAGCTATTGGAAAGGAATTTAAGTGCAGATGCTGGAATGAACTTGATTTTTGACAGATCTTAACGTATATAAAATTGAAAATTGCTCAATTTTTCTTGTGCCATAAAATATGAGAAAAGTACATATTTTGCATTATAAATAGAATCTATAACACTAAAGCAGCCTACCTTTTTCATTCCTCTAGTACTTTTTTTAATATCTCCAACTGATTGACATGATTCATAAGTTACTTGCTTCTTACAGTCCTGTTTCTCATCTGGTAATGACGATTTCCTTTTGGAAGCTTTTGGTGTATGTGTTTGTTGAGATACACTATCAGTCAAAATCATATTTTGAAGTTTTACATAGGGAGATTTAGATGGTGTCACAAGATTTACAACAAGTGGGGAATTTAAAATTTCCAAATTTCTTTCTCTTTCTTCGGCATTTCGAGAAACACTATTTTCTTTATCCTCTAAAATTCTATGAGAATACTCAGTAGCTTTTACTTCAACTTTTAAAATATCTTTAACTTGATTTTCAAGGCTTATTTTAATTCTTGAATTATTCTTTTGCTTCTGAGGAGTTGCTTTAGCTTTCGAACTGTATTTAGATTTCTTTCCAGGAACTGAATCAGCTTCTGAACTTTCCTCAAGTCGTTTTTCAGTTTTAGAATTTTGTTCTGAATGTATAGAAACCACACTACATGAACCTGTAGTCTCATTTTTTGTTGATGATTTTGATAGCGTAGATAGAGTTGGATTGTCCTGTTTCGGCAATACTTCCTCCAGTTTTACACTTTCAACATCTTTATTTAAGTTAAGATTTTTATTCGAGCTTCCATTACCATGCAAATGATCTTTCTTACCAAATGAAATCAACCGCTGTTGTGACTGTTTATTCCTTTGCTCATCTTTCTTCAAAAATACATCAAGTTTATGTAAATTCCCCAAATTATAATTGCACTTAAGTTCTTCTTGTGTGCTGTAAAAAAAAACAAATTTAATATTCTTAAATTTTATTTTTAAACATGCTTTATGAAAATATATACAATAAAAATTCAAATTCTGTTTTAAATCAAGCATTTAAAATTTATGATTAAACAATGTGATATTTTTCCATCGTGCACCTGCCACACTTTTTGGCACTAGTGGAAAAAAAAGTAAAACACACAGCAAGATCTAATGATAGTGCCATCTGAGCTATTGTGTACATGTGTACGCCTATAAATTATTCTTAGAACTAGAGATAGTTTACAATTAAAAGCCCACCAAAATGTGTGGCATAATGGAAAAGTAGCAACAGTGCTTATTTCTGAGTAAAATTTGCTTTTCTAGTAAAGAGAAAGCGACAGTGACAACATAATAAAACATTGAGGCTGAAAATGTTAGCAAGTTTGCTGTATAAGATGCCCATATGAAATCTGATGTATTCAATATATATTTAAAGAATTTCTTACTTGATCCAGTAGACAATAAATTTGTAAAAAGACATTAATTTAAAATTTACTGTGCTTTCATGATTCAACATCCTGATTCGCCGGTTCGTATCTTGTGACCCCAAGTGATCTCATCTCACGTAAACTACGCTACAAAACACTAATTCTCTCAGTAATTATCGACATTAATTTCAAATCTTAATTTGGAATGCAAGTTAAAATGCAAGAATTATTTTAATTTATACGAATAGATTACTCAGAAATTATGTAAAACTGCATTGCTTTACTTCACTAGTGCATTCTCAATAGAACTGATGAATTTATCGGGTGAGCGGAGTGATTGCATCCTGATTGACTTAATTACTGCAAATGGTCTTAGGGCATAAAATTTAACTATATAGGTAAAAATTCTATGTAATTGTATGCCAGTATTGAAAGAAACAATCAATCTGATAAGAAATGGCTGCGACTAGTTTTGAAAATGAAGCGTAAAACGTTACCAGTGAAGATATTCCATTTAGCATCAGTTGTACCACCATTATTGGCAACTTTATGGTTTGCGCCGGCAAAATGGAAAAGTATTAAATTAATGTATTTTTTTAAAAAGAAAATACATTTAAACACTGCCTACTCACATCTCTTAGCTTCCTCAGTCATACTTCTGGAAAGCTTGAGTAGTTTCTTGTAACACTTATTAATGTCAGCCCTCTGCCCAACAGTAAATAAAATGTGGTGCAAACAATAATCTGGAGCCACTGGAATAGCTGTTAAACATATACTTTTCTTTTACTTGCAACTTTTTATGTTGCATCTCTAAATGCTTTCATTTATGTACACTGCTCCAAAAAAAAAAAAAAAAAAAAAAAAAAAAAAAAAAAAAGGACAGTGCTATACCTCCCGTTCTACTGGGCCGATTGACAAAATTCAAATTGCGTTTTTCATGTCTCGAAAGCGCGACTTAGGATATGTATTAGATTGATATATAGAACTATTCTAACATAGGCATTTTGACACAAACTCAGACTTTTTCTGAAATAACATACCAATTTTTCTCCATATTTCGATTCTATGACTCAATTATGCCAGAATACCAAGTTTTGTAAAAATCGTACGAGTAGTTTTTAAAATATTAGCTCTCAAAATTTTAGTTCCTCAATGTTAATTGAATTTGGAAAATATTTATTAATATCTTTTTTTATTAAACTTTTTTGATTTTTTCTCCCACATTTCGAAATTTAGGTTCATTCCAAATAAAATTTACCCATTTTTTGTGTTTTATTTTTTAAATTTCTATTTTTAAATAATTTTTATAAATTTTTCAAAAAAAATTTTGAATTATAAGCTATAAAATTTTTACCATCATCTTGAAGTAGGTGTATGTTTAAGCATATCTGCAAAAAATTAGACTTTTTTATTCAAAATTTTCTAAGATATACACGAATTTACATATTTTCGCATTTTGAAATTTGGCATCTTTTTTTTGAGCGATAATAACACCAAATGTGGTCTATGGATTTTTGTTACAGTGAATTGCCACAGCTATTTTTAACCTTAAATTTCAAGTAAAATTTTACAGAAAATTCATTATATGACATTTTTTCCCTCAATGATGCATAATAAATATTTATAATAATTCTCTTTTACTGCAGCTTTTCATATCAAAATAGATGTCATCAAACAAATCTTCTAAGTATCTATCAAAACATGAAGCAAATTTTTTTGCACAGTTATTAGCTGTGTGACATGTGTCACCATCAATATCTAATAAGTGGGGTGCTTTGTTTGATTGTAGTCTGGTTTCAACACCCTTTTATTTTCCACGCATGGTGTTACATGAGTCAATTAATACACTAATTAAGTTTGCCCTTGGAATATTATTATCTTCAATAGTATTAACAACTGCTTTAAAAACAGCTTCTGAGTTGCAAGATTCCATCTTTAGAGATGCAAAATGATGAACTACAACTTCATTTTGATTGTTGTCATAAAACTGCACCAATACTGCCAGTATACTTTCTTGAGCATTGCTAGTACTTTCATCCAAATTTAGAGAAAATGGAGTCTCCTTTAAAGTTTTAATGATATTTCCCTTAATAGTTTTTGCGAGCCCATATTTCATCTTATAGCATGCAGTAGTCCTGGACATTTGCAACGAGTTTAGTGCCGTCTGATCACGGCTCAACTGTTTGCAGAGTTCAATTAAATTGGGAGCTACATTGAAAGAAAGAGAATTCTCGGCGATAAACGAAGTTATTAGTACCTCTTTGCGTGCTTTTCTTGTCACTACATCCAATCGCCAAGCATCAGTCTCCAGTAAGTCATCAGTATTTTTTGAATTGGCATAATTACTTAAAGTCATTGAATGTCTAATGCACTTTGAATATTTTATGTGCGTCACAGTTTTAGAATGATTTGTGAAAGCCTTGAATCCTTCCCCACCATACTTCAACAGTGAGTTACAAAAAACACAATATGCTTGTCCAGCAACATCTATTTTCTTGCACCATGTGCCGATATTATCCCCATTACCATCTCTCCGTTCAATCCAATTCCACCTAAATGCATTCCGGACACCTTCTTCTAATTGTATAATATCAAGAAATTTCATAGTGAAATTCTCTTGCGTACATAAATAAAAAAATATTTCAATAAACAAAACGAAAAATTTACACATGCATCAATAAATGAAATGAAAATTTTACACAGCGGAGAAAAAAAAGTTGAGAAGTCTTATTAGCTGACAAATAGCTAATACGGCGAAAAATCCCCCTTCTCTACTTATTGGCGCCACGCCAGGAGAGATAAGACCTTTGAACCCAGAGTCACGTGATCACACATCTGGTCGAATGAAGTCTCTCCCTTTTTTTTCTGCCAGGCCTACTTGCCAAAAAGAATCCAGAAGAGAATGTCCGGGGGAATGAGTCATAACTCGCAATAAGGAAAGAACAAAAAAGAAGTTTTTTTCCCCCTTTTCACGCATTATCACTGCCTTTGGAGAAAGAAAGGAAAAGTTATCACCACACACACTGACCTTGCATTTTCTGCTTTCAAAGCAAACAAAATTACCCAGATCAAAATAAATAATTCATTATTATTCCTACTTCCTTTTGAACGACGATCCCCGGAATTTCCGGGCAACGAAGTTCAAAATCCCCGGGTTTCCCCCGAGCACAAACACCCCTGTGTTTATTAAATGAATTTAAGAAGTTTTAAAACATAAAAAATCAACTCATTTTTTATCCAAAAGTGTATTTTTGTGCGTAGCATATTTTCATTATATCCTTAAAATTCTAATTTAGAATGTAATTGTCAAGAACTGAATTCTAATCATTAGTAATATAATAAATTATTACGGTTATTAATAAATCCTTCTTATAAAGTAATTGCAAATATTTCAAAAAACTCTCTGTCTGAATGCAAATATTTTTCTTTTTCTGTGCAAATATTTTTAATTTTATATTAATCAAGATTGCATACGATATTATTTATTTGCACTTCAATTCGTACCGTCAGTTCTAATAGAAGTTACAAATCAATTATATTTAATTAAGGATTCAATTGGATTGAATTATTTAATTATGGCAACGCACAAGAGGGCTATCTGCCTAAAGGAAGGGATGCCTTCATTGAGGATTTCTAAGGAAAACTGGCTCGTATACACGTTACACATGGGGAAAACCACGAAAACACCCATGCGGCCAGCCCGTTCGCGAGATTCGAACCTCGGACCGAACTACCAGTGTTCAGCATCTTTACCGCTTGGCCGCTGGTGGACTATTTAATTAAGGAATAACCATCTAAGTTTAGAAACAGTACCATAACAGCAATTCAATTATTGGCGCTGTATCTTTCATTTTACTCCCGATTGGCAAGCTACATGATTTTTAATGAGTATTCGGGTTTTGCTAGTAACTTCACTTGGAAATCGTGTTTAAACTAGGTTAGTTGGTTATTTGAACATGGGAGCTATTTGATTAAGATGCTTTCATAGAGAACCTTTGTAAAGAAAACCTAGAAAACTACGAAAACCAACCATGCAGCCTGGGTTAGACATCGCAACAAACAATTAGTATTAAACAATCTTCAAATGCTACACAACTAGTGAGGCTCCAATTAAATCTCCAATTTAATATTTTATTTGTAAATAGTTAAAATATTGTTGTATTCTTAGAGACAAAAAGCAGAATTTAAGTTTTGTTAACTCGTTAGTAAACTACCAAGCCATAGTGCAAATGAATATTTAATTTCTTTTGCAATAATTGTATTCACTTAATATTCTTGGAATATGAGCTAAAGAAGGAATGTTCTCGGAAGATTAAAGAAGTATTTAAATCCAGTGATATTAGGTCTTACAAGCTCAGGATCAAAACGATTCTGCAATTGCCTGAGTAGTTGACTTGTAAATGTCTGTGAATTAAGCAGATGACTTTTAATCTTTACGTTTTCAGTCAGAAAACATGTATTCCAAATGTTTTGTATTGCATGAGAATGCCATCTTTTCACATTATTCAATAACCAAGTCGGAGAACCGCTTGTGTTCCGAAAATAAGTATGTGTACTTCAATCGTCCTGCATGTTCAAATTTCAAATTTCGTGATTTTTTTTTTCTTTTCCCAAAAACTAAAGTTGCCTCTCAAAGGAAAGTTTTTTGACATTGAAGAGACAAAAGGAGTATGACATCTACTTTTAGAGTTATGTCAAAAATAGATCTCTACAAGTCTTCTTTTCCATTACATGTTGTGCAGTCAGACAAAAAGTTGCATCAGCGTAAATTCTATAATCTATTTTTATTACACTCTGATTACTTTATTAACATACAGTGAACATATACTAAATCTTTTATTTCAGCTTAAGTAATTCGGAATTTTTGACGGAATTGTTGTCGGAACTAGGACTAATTTTTTCAGTTTTGGTCCATTATCCTAAGTATATTTGCTTCGATTCTTTATTTTTCCATAAAAGCGACAAATTTATGCATGGTATACATATAACGCATAGCTTCAAATTAAAATTTAATAATATACAGAGTGGTTATAATTAAAGTTCCACATTGAAACGGTCATAAAAGGAAAACTACTGGATCAAATGTTATCAAACTTGGTAATCGTGTAAAGGAGGTCATGGGAATTTATTTTCTGCGAAAAAAAGGAAGTTTGAAACTTCACTACTAGAGGGGAAATGGCGCTGTGTGCAATATTGTTAAATGAAATATGGGTCGGAATCTAACTTAACCTTTTGTTACACGGGTTTAATATGTTGTATACCCTTAAGAAACTTTGAAGTAGGCAAATTACCATTTAAAAGCATTAAATTTTATAAAAGTCAAGTGCGCCATCCGTGTAAGTGAGAAATTCGTCCGTGAAAACCACGAATTAGCGATTAGAAAATGTGAGATTGCAATTCACTCACACAAGTGCGTACAATCTGGAAATCGTTTTCTTACAGATCGATAATTTGTCATTTTTGAAGCCTGAATTCGGCACTAAAACATGAAGATACTGATTTAATACGCTTTTAATCGATTTGGGCCAAAGAAATCCCTCGTGTTATCTATCTAGTTCCATTGCATTCTCCTACTGCATTCGATTGCATAGCAGTCATTCCACACACCGTTTAGTGTTGAATGACAGCTAGTTTTATAACTGAACCATTTTTCTCATAAGAGCAGTCGACAGCTGGACCATTGTAATTTCAGCTCACTTAAGAGTCAATGTTAAAATGTTTCGTGATACATGAACTGCAGTAACGTGGCATTTTAGATACTACGATTTTTATGCAGGGCTGGGCCGCACCTCACGTGTGTCGCACAGTTACTTAGGCAACATTTCATGAATGAACGTCTTATAGGCCAACACTTCCCCTCTTCCCACTAGATCTCAACCTCTGTGACTTTGGGCTATGGGGTTATCCCAAAAGCACTGTTTATGGTGCTTTTGAGTGGTGCTTTTTAAACAATTTGGCAGAAATAAAAAATGTGATACACTGACATGTCCGTAACATTCCTCCTGATATGCTAAGAGCTGCTGTTGAGAATGCAGTAACAGGATTTAACTTGCTTTCGAAAAATGCTGGACGCTACATTGAACATGCTTTGTAACACGTTTCGGAAAATATTAAACAGATGTTTTCGTGTCTTATTTCATTTAACAATATTGTATACAGCGCCATTTTCCCCCTGGTGGTGAGTTTTTGAACTCTTTTTTTTCCACGGAAAATAAATTCCCATAACCTCCTTTACACGATTCCCAAGTTTGATAACATTTGGCCTGGTAGTTTTCCTTTTATGACCATTTCAAATTGAAACTTTAATTATAACCACCATGTAAATTAAACTTTAAAAGTTTGACAGTTTGGTTCAAGTCCCCAGCTTTAAAAAAATATATATAAGTATAATCTTTTATATTAATCCTCTTAGAAAGAATGTTTTAAGAAGCTAATTTTTCTCTCGCGTTATAGATTGTATAAAAAAACATGATCTTTAATATGATTTAGATTGTTTCAGCCGATATAAGAATCGGGTCACTCGGTGGTACAGAATAAACCCTGCTGGAGTGTTTTATTTCTTTGTCATTTAGCAAAAATCTTTTGATTAAAATATTTATCCTTTATACTTCGCTTTAAACTTTATTTATAGTTAAAATGACTAGAAAATGAAAAGCTGTCTTCAGCTGAAATGCAATTCATGTAATTAATATTTTAAAAAATTGACAAGAATCCAAAATTTATGGATGTCTAGCAATTGAAAAATCTTAATTTTCTTGTGTGAGCACTGAAAATAACTGTAGAAGGAAAGAAGAAAATTAGGGAGAAAAGTAAGCAAACATTTGCAGGAAAATTGGCTGTCAGACATACCAAGATTTTCAAAAAGTTGGATGCTTTTGAATATACTTTCAGGACACTTCAAAGAACTTAGGCGTTCAAAGAGAAAACACTTGGACGTGTACACCAGCAAATACCATCAACTGAGCTTGTGTTAGCAGAAAAGAAAAAAACGATATCATTGCAGATTAAAGTGAAGAGCAACTGGTTTTAGACTATATGGTTGTATAAATTTAAATTATGTTATAGAACATCATATCGTATCATAAATGGAGAATCCCATGATTTTCTCAGTCGAATTATTTGAAGATTCAGGAGTTTATCTAGTGTTGTATGTGGATGTCACCTAAAGGCGTTTTTTTTTCCTCCTGATGAAACAGCGGCCGAGTGGTAAAGTCGCTGAACACTGGTAGTCGGTTTGAGGTTCGAATCCCGCGAACAGGCTGGCTGCATGGGCGTTTTCGTGGTTTTCCCCATGTGAAACGTGTATGCGA